CGAGTCTGGGACTCCAACCGCGGTCGACTACGTGGGAGTCCAGCGACATAGCCATTACGCTAACTGCTGGTCCCACTTTCTTCTTCTTACTAAGTCTCGCTATTGGTGTTTTGATTTTATCTTTCCAAGAACCAGCTTTTATTTTGATTATTTCCTTTACAGTTTGCTTATTTTCTGTTGCTTTTATTTTTGCCCCTATCTTTATTATTTTATTTGTCCTTGAGTTTTTGTTTTGTTTTTTTTTTTTTAGATTTTGTTGCTGTTGCTTTTACAATTCTCTGAGGCACAATCATAGGTGATCCAATTGCCTTCTTTCTGTCCTCTTCTTGTGTGCACTAATTGCTATGAACTTCCCTCTTTTGACTACTTTAGCAGTGTACCAAAGATTATGAAACTTGTGTCCTCATTGTCATTGGCTTCCATGAGTCATTTGATTTCAGTCTGTATTTCTTCAGTAGTTGTGGAGTCATTCAAGAGCAGGTTACTTAGTTCCCATATATTTTAGTATTTTTGAGTGTTTCTCTTGAAATTAACTCAAGTTTAATTCCATCATAGTAGGAGAAGATTCTGGGAATAGTTTCTATGCTTTTGAATCTGTAGAGGCTTGCTTTGTGCCCTATCTTGTGGTGAATCTTTGAACAAGTTCCATGTTGGGTAATCAAAAAGTGTATCTCATGGTTTTGGGGTGGAAAGTTCTGTAGATGTTTCTTAAGTCCATTTGATTTATGGTATCATTTCGAACCTTTATGTCTTTATCTATTTTTTTGTCTAGATGTTCTATCTAGAGGGGATAGTGGGGTGTTGAGTTCTCCAACAATTAGTGTGTTGCAATCTATCTCGATTTTTAGGTCTAATGGTCTTTCCTTCACATATTTCGGTGCTCCTGTGTTAGGTGCATAGATTTTTATAAGCATTATATCTTCTTGATCGATTGAAACTATTACTGCAATATAGTGTCCTTCTGTGTCTCTTTGAACAGTTTTTTTTTTTAAGCCTATTTTGTCAAAAATTAGTATCGCAACTCCAGTTCTTTTTTTGGTTCCCATTTGTATGAAGAATTTTTTCCAACAGTTCTCTTTGAGTCTATGTCTTTATCTAGAAGGTGGGTTTCCTGTAGGCAACAGATTGAGGGTTTCTCTTTTTTTTTCATTCATTCAGCCAGTCTGTGTCTCTTGATTGGAGAATTTATTCCATTCACATCCAGTGTTATTATCGATGTTACCAGACCTGTCCTGATGTTTAAATTGGCCATTGTCTTGGTTGCCTTTTATTCCTTTGTTTCTGGCTGTTCTTTCTTTAGTTTTCCTGGTACAGTACTCTCTTCAGTGTTTCTTGAAGAGCTGATCTAGTGTTGGCAAATTCTTTCAAGTTTTGTTTGTATAAGAAGAATTTAATCGTTTTTTTTTTCCATATGAAGGATAACCTTGCAAGATATAATAATCTTGGTTGAAATAAATTATCTTAATACTTTTAAAACGTCTTTAGTTCTTCCCTTGCTTGTATTGTTTCCATTGAGAAATCCGGTTTTAGCCTGATGGGATGACCTTTGTATGTTGCTTTTGATTTCTCTCTTGCCAGTTTTAGTACCTTGTCTTTTTCTTTGGTCTTTGCCAGTCTGGCTAATATGTGCCTTGGGGAAAATTTTCTTGGGTTGATTTTATTTGGGGTCCTTTGCATTTCTTGGGTCTGGATGTTTGAGTTCCTCTCTAGATTTGGGAAATTTCTTTACAGGATATTAGGGCATCTAATGGAATGTAGAATTTCTCGTATATTATCCTCGTGTTTGTTTGTTATTTTCTCTATCTTTTTGGTGTTTTTTTCTAGGTCAGAGGTTTTATCTTCTATATCAGAGATTCTATATTAAGCCTGGTCTAATCGACTTTTAATACTTTTGAGAGAGTTTTTGATTTCCTGTATAACAGACTTCATCTCTAATAGTTCCACCTGATTCTTTTTTTGTCCATTTCTTCTTTCATATTGTGGAAGGACTTTCTAATCTCCTATAGTTCATTGTCTCTTTTCTGTTCCAACTCATTGAAATTTGGTCTCCTTGAAGGTTCTAAATTGTTTCTCTGACATTTTTGGTAACTTCCTCTGTTATTCTGAGAAATGGAAGGGAGTTAGTGTGTTCTTTTGATGGAGACATATTTCCTGTTTTTTTTTTTTTTTTTCAGACCTGAGGCTCTTCTTCTACTTCTAGATATTGTGGGGTGTATTTACTTTGGAATACCTTTTAGGAAAATGTTTCTTCGACTAGGAGAAAGTCTGTTTCCCTTTTGCTGTGGACTCATGAGTGCCTAAGTCTCTCTTCTGTTGTGTTTAGCAATGTTGTCCAAGCACGAGTATTCTATTCAGGTTTCTGAAGAGCAGTATCTCCTTTTTCACAGGTGGTTCAGTATAAGGAAGGACGCTAGGGAGTCTTATAATACTAGGGTATTTGAGAACTGTGATTCTAGACCTATTTAGTTCATCAGGGAGGGTAGAGGAAGAAAGGACTGAATAGTAGGAAAGAAAGTAAGTATGAGAATAAAGAAAAAGTTGCAAGCCCTGTGCTTGCATGCTTTTGCCAGGGTCTGGAGATGGAAGTGGGGTTTCCTGTAGAGCTGGCAGCAGTCCTGTGTGGTAAGGAGAAATGTGAAACTAACAAATGAAAGAAGAAGAGAAGGAAAAAATGGCCTACCTATGTGACAGAAATAGGGGTCTCTGGTTTGGGAGTGCCAGACCTGGAGCTAGCACAGGGGGCCCTTCCTCAGTGTCTCTTAGTCCAGGGGTCTGGAGATGTAATTGGGGTCTGTAGAGCTGGGGCAATCCTGGCTGAAAGAGATAGGGGTCTCTGGGTTTGGGGGTGCCAGGGCTGGTGCTGGGGCAGGGGGCCCTGCCTCAGTGTCTCTTAGGACAGGGGTCTGGAGATGAAAATGGTGTCTGGTGTAGTGCTAGGGGCGGTCCTGTGTGGTAAGGAGAAGTGTGAAATTAACAAATGAAAGAAGAGAAGGAAAAAAATAGGTTTACCTGGATGACAGAGATAGGGATTCCCTGGGCTTGACAGTGTCCAGGTAGAGCTGGGGCAGGGGTCCCTGCCTCAGTGTCCCTTAGGCCAGCAGTCTGGAGATGGTAGTGGGGTCTGCTATAGAGCTGCATGTGGTCCTGGCTGACAGAGATAGAGGGTTGCTTGGGTTGTGGGTGCTGGGGCTAGAGCTGGAGTGGGAAGCCTTCCTCAGTGTCCCTGATGCTATGGGTCCTGAGATGAAAGTGGGGTCTGCTGTAGAGCTGGGAGTGGTCCTGTGTCTGGCCTATATTCTCATATTCTTCTTTTTACCTCTGTACTTCATGGCCAATATTAGCAAATTGTTTTTAAAACATATGTTTCCTTGATATTGTTTTGCTTATCATGGGCTGGCCTTTCTCTTAGCAGTGTTTTACCTTTTTTTCTCCTTGTTCTTTGCAGCCTGAAAATAATTCTCTGTGACAGAAGGACATAGAAAAGAATATGGAAGGTGAGGACTAACTTTTCCTGTATCACTCATTAACTTTATACAATTGAATTTGTGTAGCTTTTTCACTCATTCTTTGTTTGTTGCTATGAACATAGCCTAAATGTCCTTTCAGTTACCCTTATTATTATTTTTGCAAGCCTTGATGCATTCTGGGCATTACTTCTTTATACTGCTTTGAACATTGGAGAGACATGTAGCTCTAGTTTTATTTTCACTGTAAAGGGGAGAGGAATATATAAGAAATAGAAATAAAGGAAGGGTGAAATGATCTGTAGAAAAGAAAACAATATTTACCTCATAGAGTTGTGAATGTTAAACAAGTTGATGTATGTTAAACATTTGGATTAAAGCCTGAAACACATTACAAACTTTAAAAAGGTTGGCCACTTTTATTTGAATGGTAATAATGATGATGGTTGTATTAATCAAAACTCCCAGCAGAAAATAGAAGCTATACTTATATTAAGTTGGGGAGAGGTGAATATACAAAATTATGAGCACTGAATAAGAAAATTACAAAAGAGAGTGTAATATATCCTAGATATAACAACTGTAGTTGCTATTAGTACTCCTAGACCTAAAGGGGTGCAATTAGGGAGTGATTTCTGTAACTCAGAATGAGGATATTTGAAAGGAGCTGTGGTTCTTGGTTAAAGGAAATATACAGAGTGGAGTGTGAACTAGGACAATAAATACTTTATCTATCCTCTCCATCCTCCCCTTTCTCTTTCCAAAGTCCCACTAATATTTCTCTTTAGCCAAACCCAAACCAAAAAACAGAGAAGAGCAAATCCCATTGATGCCTTCAGTGACAAAATGTAGGCAAGAGAATAACAAGGTGTGGAGATAGAATAGAATATATAAGCAAAAGCATAACTTTAGTTGTAGAAGTTCTGAGGCATGTATAGTATGACTGACAAGCCACCTGTGTCCAAATTTGAATTCTGTGGGAAAATGTGTATGTTATTCTAAAAGTAAAAATCATCTCCAGAGTTAAATAGATACCCCAACCCAAGATGCTACCCTAATGGAAGCCTTTCTCTATCTGTTTCCTCTATACTTAATCTATCCTTAGACCTTTTTCTTTTCTACAGTTTATCAAACTATTCGAGAAAGCCTTTGCTTAATAAAAAATTATATATATATATGATATATAAAATAGATATCATATATGTATATATTTTGTTTGTATAAATATGTATGCATATATCTATAAAGTACATCTATATAGTAGTTAAAACAATTAGTATCAGTCAGGGAATCTGAGGCAGGTGCTTTTACTGGCCCGGGCCCCAGTTTCAGCTCCATCCCCAGCCCAGCACTCCCAACCTCAGAGCACCTCCACAATAAGAATGGGCAGCCCCAGCTCTCCAGCAGAAGCAAGTTCCATCTGCAGATCCCTGGCCAGTCAGGAAAGCTGAGACAGGAGCTTTCAACTGGTCCCATGTACAGCTCCAGCTTGGCCCCAGCCCAGCTCTCCTAACCTCAGAGCCCCCACTCCCACCAGAAAGGGCAGCCCTCAGCTCTCTAGCAGAACCCAGTTCCATCTGCATCCTGTTGGCCAGTCAGGGAAACTGAAACAGGGGCTTTCACTGACCCTGGCCCGAGCTCAAACTCCAGCCTCAGCCCAGCTTTCCTAACTTCAGAGAACGGTAGACTGCCAGAAAGGTAGATTGCTTTTTTTTTTCTTCCTGTTTCTTTTCCTAATTTCCTACTTCTTACTCCACAGGGCAGCCCCCAGCTCTCCATCAGAGCCCAGTTCCATCTGTAGCCACCTAGCAAAATAGAGTGCCATGCTAGTATGTGGTGCATAACTTTTACTTTTTTCTCTTTCATACTTTTTTCTTCCTTTTTATATTGTCATCAGTTCCTCATCCTCTACCCACCCAGAGGGACTAGACAGGTCTAGAATCATATTTTTCAAATACCCTTGTATTGAGAGGCTCCCTGGGGTCCTTCCTTTTACTGACCCATGTGCAAAAAAAGGAGAAACTGCTCTTCAGACCTAAACAGAAGACTCCTCCTGTGAAGACCACATTGCTAAACATGACAGAAGAGAGACTTCAGAACACATCAATCCACAGCAAATGGGAAGCAAACTTGTTTGCAGTGGCAGAAACATTCCTCAAAAAGGTATCCAAAAGTGAAGACATCACCCATTGACTAGAAGTAGAAGAAGAAACCAGGAAATATGTCTGTACCAAAAAACCACAATAACTCCCCTTCATTTCTTGAAAAAACAGAAGAAGTTACCAAAATGTCAGAGAAAGAATTTAGGAATTTCATAGTAAAAAACCTATGATTTGGAACTGAAAAAAGACAATGAGCTCCAGGAGATGAGGAAATCCTTTCACAATTTGAAGGAAGAAATGGACAGTATAAGAAAGAATCAAATGGAACTATTAAAAGTCTGTAACACAGGAAATCAAAAACTCTCTCAAAAGTATTAAAAGCCAATGAGACCTTGCTGAAGATCAAATCTCAGGCATAGAAGATAAAAATTATGACTTACAAAAAAAGCAACAAAAAGATAGAGAAAATAACAAAAAAATGATGATAATATACACAAAATACTAGATTCTATTAAACATCTGAATAATTGGTATCCCAGAAGGTGAAGAAACTAATAAGGGCATGAAAAATCTATTCCATTAAATCCTGGAAGAAGACATGCCAAGACTAAAGAAGCACTCAAACATCCAGACTAAAGAAATACAAAGGACTCCAAATAGAATCAACCCAAGTAGATCTTCTCCAAGGCACAGCTTTGTCAGACTAGCCAAAAACACAGATAAAGACAAGATACTAAAATTGACAAGAGAGAAATGAAAAGTGACATACAAAGGTCATCCTATCAGGCTAACATTGGACCTTTCAACAGAAACAATGCAAGCAAGGAAAGAATGGGAAGACATATTGAAAGTGTTAGAGAGAAACAATTTCAACCAAGATTATTATATCCTGCAAGATTACCCTTTATATGAGGGGAAAGAAAAGATTAAAACCTTTTCAGAAAACAAAACTTGAAAGAATTTGCCAACACCAGACCAGCTCTTCAACAAACTCTCAAGAGAGTCCTGTTCCAGGAAAACTAAAGAATAAACAGGCCAAAATAAGGGAATAAAAGACAACTAAGACAATGGCCAACTTAAAGGTAGGGACAAGTCTGGAAATATCGATAATAACATTGAATGTCAAGGATTAAATTCTTTAATCCAGAAACACAGACTGGCTTAATGGGTAAAAATAAACAAACAAAACAAAGACAGAAACCATCTGTTGCCTACAAAAATGCATCTCTTGGATAAAGACATATGTAGACTAAAAGTGAAGGGCTGGAAATTTATTCCATGCAAGTGGAAACTCAAAAAGAGTTGGACTCATGATATTAATTTCTGACAAAATAGGCTTTAAAACAAAAAGTGTTGGAAGAGACAAAGAAGGACACTATATAGTAGTAAAAGGGCTAATCCATCAAGAAGATATAACACTTGTAAATATCTATGCACCTAATAACAGGAGCACCCAAATATGTGAAGGAAAGAGCCCAAATATGTGAAGGAAAGAGGGTAATATTTTAAAATAAGGGATAGACTGCAAAACTCTAATTGTTGGAGACCTCAACACTCCACTCTCTCCTCTTGACAGATTGTCTAGACAAAAAAAAAAACAAAACAAAACAAAAAAAACACAAGTAAAGAGATAAAGGATCTAAATTATATAAATCAAAATCAAATGGACTTAACTGACATATATAGAACCTTTCACCACAAAATACACCTTTTTTCTCATCCCCACATGTAACTTTTTGATGACTGACCACGTGATAGGGCACAAAGCAAGTCTCTACAGATTCAAAGACATAGAAACTATATCAAGCATCGGAGACATAGACTGCAACCCACTAATTGTTGGAGACCTCAACACCCCATATCACCTCTGGATGGATCATCTAGATAAAAAATAGGTAAAGAGACAAATGATCTAAATGATACAATAAATCAAATGAATTTAACAGACATCTATAGAACTTTCCACCCAAAAACCATGAGATACACTTTTTTCTCACCCCCATATGGAACCTTTTCAAAAGATTGACCATATGATAGGGCTCAAGGCAAGCCAGATTCAAAAGCATAGAAACTATACCCAGCATCTTCTCCAACCATGATGGACTTAAACTTGATTTTAATTTCAAGAGAAATCCTTAGAAATACTCAAATACATGGAAAGTAAATAAACTACTCCTGAATGACTTCACAACTACTGAAGAAATAAAGACTGAAATAAAAGGATTTGTGGAAACCAATGACAATGAGGACATGAGTTTCCATAATCTTTGGGACACTGCAAAACCAGTCATTAAGAGGGAAGTTCATATCAATTAGCACACATAAGAAGATAGAAAGAAGGAAAGTGGAGCACCTAAAATCATGCCTCAGAGAATTAGAAAAGCAACAGCAAAAAAAATAAATAAGCCAAAACAAAACAAAACAAAACAAAAATAATGGGAGAAAAAGAATAATAAAGGTCTTAGCAGAGATAAATGAAATAGAAAATAAATTAATTATACAGAAAATAAAATAAAAGGCGATTCTTTGAAAAGATAAAAACAAAAACACCACTAGCTAGACTAGACTAATTAAGGAGAGAGAAAAGAACCAGATAAATCGAACTTGCAAAGAAGCAGGCAATGTAACAACAGTCATAATAAAAATACAAAGTATCATGAGTGGATACTATGAACAAATATATGCAACAAATAAAATCTGGATGAGATGGACAAATTCCTGTACACATGTAATAATCTACCAAGATTGAATCAGGAGGGTGTAGAAAGTGTAAATAGGCCAATAACAAGACAGGGTATTTATTTAATCAGTGTTAAATAACCTCCCAACAAAGAAAAGTCCTGGTCCTGATGGCTTCACCTCTGAATTCTACAAAACTTATAAAAAAAAGAGTTTACTCCCAAACAGCTCAATTTGTTTCTAAAGATC